TTCGCACATTGTATAAATTGGAGATTTTTGACAGTCTAGGATGACAGTCTAGGAACCCAAAAACAGTTGAGAGCAGGTGATGATATTGTTTTGGGAGATCTTCCTCTTAAGTTGGGCCAAATTTTGACGGAAAACGCAAATATTGGGTTTTTCTTTCTTTCGAACCTCTTTGCTTTCAATATCCCTTGTTTTTCCGACACCATAGAAATCAGATGACAAGCAGAACAACAAGCAGAAATCTTCAGACAATATAGAAGTGGGTTCAAGAGCTACTTTTTCTTGAAATAGCTACTGTCAGATTGATTGACAAACCAGGAAACTTCTCCGATATGAACCGATCCTATCGTGTTCATTGTAGCAAAGGGAATTGTCGCTATGAAACACAACAAATACCTAAATTTTCGCAACGCAGTCGCCTACTCATTTCGCAAAAACTTACACCTGCGGATGCGGTCCGGATGACGAAATAAAAATAAAAGACGTAAACGATATTTTATAGCTGCAACATACAGATAACCCATTCATAATAACTTCCGTTGGGAGCATAAACGGTTATTTGTATTTGACACACGAGAGAGGATTTTTCTGGACCGCTGCCAAGAAGGGCTTGTCTGTCCATCAATTTGGAAATAGCTCAATTTGCGGATGTCGGTATTTCACACACTGAATGCCAGTGGTTTTCATACAAAGCAAGATGCCGAAGTAGTAAACAAAGGGGATATTCATGAGGCGTTTCTAAGGAATTTTGTGTTGAGAAACGCGGGAATTACGATTGCTTATAATTTTCCAAGTTTTTCGTGTTGAAGTATCTCGGAGAAACAGAAAATAATTTCATAATGTCGGTGGTTTCGACTACTTTGTCAACTACTGAAACTGATCGAGAAATAGTTTTTGGTTTTCTATAAACTGATTTTTGAAATCAACGACATCCATTCGACAAAAAATAATTTTGTTGCTTTGTATTTCTGCGTCTATTTTATCAATGCGAATGTATAGGTGACTTTCTAGAACGCTCCATTGGAAAAATTTTTACAGACTGTCCCTATTGGCATGTCGAAGGATTTGTGGTAAAACTTGGGGTTCAAGTCCCAAACAAATCCATTGGATTTATGTGATGATTGTCATACCAGGCTTGTCTGGCCATCAGTGATGCTATCAGTACCATACCGTCAGCAGCCATTGAGATCGTTCTAGATCTACCTCCTCTCCTCCTCCTCGGACAGTCAAGAGACGTTGGAAGCTCGTGGCTCCTACTGAGCAACGTCTAAATTGGTAGCAAATTGCCAAAAACGACTCACCTCGATAGGAAGACTTGATAGATTGTCTCTGGTCTGGATTCCTGGTCATACTAACCTGGAAGACAATGAGGCTGCTGACTCCCTTGCAAAGGAGGGTGCTGCAAATTATTTCATCGGACCAGAACCTGTCATTAGCATCGCTTTATTCTTTGTCAAATAAACATTGATCACCTGGATGACAAGAAAATTAATGGACGTCTGGCAGAATCCCGATCAAATTAGATCGGGCGTGAATAGGTGTGAGCCACAATAAACCCTTGCGGGTTGCGGTGGAGGGTAGAATAGACCCACTTACTTTGAACCTAACCTAACCTAAACTAACCTATAGGTGACTTTTAAACAACGGCAAAAAGAGTTGCAGTTCTGTTCACTGGCGAAAAAAATAACGATATTAGAACCGTTTTCCGAAATACCATAAGTCAAACACAATCAATTTCTCATTTTCCATTGATTTTTCAACAATATTAAAAAATATCAGATATTTCTCACCCAAAAACGTTTTGATTTGGCGACCCAAAATGTTCATTTCAATGTTTCGTATTCTCCAGTCTACCATCAGGTTCTTGTTTCAAATATTTATCTAAATATTTTTTGATTTCTCAACCTGTTTGTAGAAAATAAAAATAATAGTGACCTCATTGAACAATGATCTGCGCAGTTGATTCCATCAGAACGTAAAAACGAAGCATATTGTGTTCGGGTTTCATCTCCGTAACCAATCAGTTGTAAAACTGTTATTTTATGCATTTCCGGTAATCTAACCATTTGTCAGACTTGAGGTTAACTAACTTTCAACTTAAATTGAAATAATGAAACTAATGTTGTAACATACAAAACAAGTTGACAACGCGTTTTAAAATAACGTTGCCACGGAAATTATTTACAGTTTTTTAAAGGATACCATCCAAAAAGAACATTGCTATAGTTTTTGCTTACTTCCTTATTATCAATACCTCAACATGAAATAAGTTTTGAGTGTATTGCAATAAGTTTTGAGTGTATTTTATCAAATTTCTGTAACCACATGATTTTAATTCATTTTATCATTAAACTTGAAAGCGATAACATTTTTTAATAGAAAATGAAGAGACCTTTCAACCGATGTATCACAAGCCTATACTTCCCATTTGAAAAATTGGTAGTTGTACCTGTCATTCTACGAGGGATAAAGGTAGGGGTAGCATTTTTCCGTTGAAGTATGTTAAATTATAATTAAAATTTGACGTGTTTCGGAATTTTGTTAAAATATGTACTGTAACCAAAATAATGAATTTATTCCATTTGGCTTTCACACACTGTATAAAACCTTTTGCAGTCATCCATACTTCAATTCTCAGGAAATGTTTAATGTTTATGACGTCTTATTGTTCATTTTTTTCTCTTGATGTGAGCGAGGAAGTTCTTAATGAATGAATGCATGTTCAGAATGCCTTATTATCTGTATAACAATAGACAAAGGGATTATTACCCAAATGAATATGTTTTAATAATACATTGGGAATGGGGAGATGTCGACAATGGGATTGTGTGAAACGCGTACGATGTGAAAATCATCGCAATTGGGGGGAAAAATTACAATTACCATGTGTCCGACTAGTGTTTTGCATTAAATTGAAATACGGTGGAAATCGTTTTTACCTTCAACGAAAACTAGTTGTTTCGTGACTATCGGTAATTGAAAACCTTCTTTTGGTTATTTGTCAGTAAAATCAAGGGAAGTTAATATACTCAAGCTGCTCAAAGCCTCGGTATATAATACCATTATATTTTTTTTCAACGTCCCCACAGATATAAAGGAGACCCTGGGTAATACTGTGACTATATCTGTCAAAGCGCGTATTCATTTGAAACAAATTACCCGTAACGTAACCACAAAAATGTTGCGTTACGGTTAGTGAAAACGGAGACAATGTCTCGTAACATTGTATAATTTGGCGCATTGCTAGATGTTTCAACCGTTTCAGGCATTCGAACAAAAAATGCAACAGGTAGTATGGATATAAAAACTGTAACGTAACATAGTAACGTTACTATCCGTAACGTGTAACGTAATACGGCCGCGGTTACGTTACGAGTCATTCGCTGCAAATTGATATGAGCCTCAAAACTATTACTGACAACTTTTGAATTTAGAACTGAGTATTGACCAGTATTCGGGGTGTAACTTCATAACAGTATTTGATACACTCACATCCTGTTGTCGTTTTGGTGTGGCAGTAAAAATATTCAAATATACATAGATTAGATTAGTAATGAGTCCAATGTCAAAGCTTGAAGTCTTCAAAAAAAGCGGTACCCATAAAATGTCTAGATAAGTTAATTAGTATTGATTCAAAGAGTAACGAGATGTAAACATTAATATCCTTCTCGAAAGAGGTATTATGGACGTTAATATCGCGAATAGAAGATAAACCTGAACTTTTCAACTGAATAAAAGTAAGGGATATTTTGTGATTGCATGTTTCACATTATTCATTTCATTTGGTGGTTTATTGTAATTGTATTATATTTTAGATTATATGTTATATGTAAAACTGCTACCATTAGAATATTCTATTTGGAATTTTGAAAACCAACATAGGAAAGTTGAGTCAAAGATGTTTCCGTACCAGAATAAACCTAGTTGACGATGTTTTTTAAATAATGACAATAATTTACTTTTTTTTGTGTTTTATAACATTATTTACAATTGAGTTTCGTAAACAAATTATAATTACAGAAATCTTTTGTTTTTATATTGATTACTTGAAGAACTTTATATTTTTTAAAAAACTTTCCAAGGAGAAATCATATCTAGAATAGAATGTCGAATGTTACATTTGGAAGAATAAAAAAAAGATTGTGGTAACATTTTTATTCGATTATAAAAAAACATTCATTCTTGTAACATCTCAATGACAAAAAATTAATGAGTTTTCATTGAAAAAGGACTCGGTTTTGGCATAACCTGTGGACCTTTCGGTATATAATCCTGAAACACTGGTCACTGAAGATGAATGCCGCATTTGCAGTTGAAACGTTTGGATGTTATAACCAAAGACGACCACGACAGAACCCCGAAACCAACCAAAATATTAATGGAAGCCCTTCCGAAATAACTACTTTCATATGAACATTGAATTATAAGAAAATCACTTTGGCCCATTCACTTTGTACTCCAAACATTCGTTATCGAATTGAATCAGATGTCATTCATATAAATTCTACACGATAGAACAGACCATCAGAAAGTTACCAGATTCAGAAAGAAATCTTCTTGTGCCCGTTTTGCATAAAACTAACCTGTACTAAAAAAGTATTTTATATTTGGGATGCAAAGTTATGACCATTCTACCAAATATCAATATTTTGAAATCCAGACTTAAAGCATTACTTATTGAAAAAAACTGTTACAGTATTAACGAATTTATGCCATAATTATATGTGTTTACAACGGTATTCGTAACTTATGACCGTGTTCGTATCTTGGAAATTCTTTCATATATTAATTATGACGTTTTTGTCAGTTCCTGCTCCGGTGTATTTTATATATTTATGCTTTTCAACTGAAAATAAAATTATTATTATCATTATCGAAAGTTCTGACATAACATTTCACTAACATGGAACACTGTCATCTTTAATGGCGAATTTACCAAAAAAATTAACAAAATATCGGCAGAAGCAAAGCAAATTTGTACCTATCAAAAGATAACTCCTTACCGCTGAATATACTTCCGGCTGTTATATGTCAGCTCTTATCTCCGCAGAGGTGCAGCAAGCAGTACCTTATCTCAACTCGAAAGTACTGATACGAGTAACACTACCCAACGCGGGACGTTATTTACACCCATTCGTAATAAAAACATGTATAAAGGACGTCGATACACAGGATATCCGTATCCTTGCCTATATAAAAGCCTTGTTGACCATAGTACAGGAAAAGGAAACATATTATCACCGATTTTCAATTGCCATTATCATTTTTCCGTTTCGTTCATTTAAGTGCAAAATTCCTGTTTTGTCATCGACTGATGATACCTTTTACTGTGGCATCGTTACCGATGAAAAACAATGGATTTCGAATCGCATTGTCCGCGAATTAACTGCTTTTACGTGACTGGTTTAATTTGGGATGCTAAATAGGTCAGTCGCTGCCTCATAAGAAAGTCTCATAAATGTATGCAGTTGATGCGACGTCAGAAAATCGAGAATATTCATGCTGGAGGTATTTGAAAATGTTATGCATATTCAGATCCATTTCCGTGCTTTGTAAGGTATTATTATCTTTTCCATGGGAATTTGGATATTCATACCGACAGCTAAAGCATAAATATGTTTCAAGACTGGGTACATGGTTCGTTAGGTCTCATTTGCAATTTTCAATTCACAAGCCATTCTTTTACCTGCTACTCACATTCAAGAATTATTTTAATAAACGCTTATGTTCCCTTGGAAAATTCAAATAATTTAAAAGAAATTACCTAACTGCATTTGCACAAAAAGATACAAATTTAGTGAAAATATTCAACTGAACAGATACATTTATTAATGAAGGTTGATGTTTTTGTAGCTCAATATCTTGTACTGGGGAGTCACAAAAACTGCCTAATACAATCTGAACTAGAGCCAGAACTAAGCAGACTTTGAATTTGAATCATATTTGGCTCAAAAGTATCGGGCCTAACACATAGATGCAGTTAATCTTATTGCTTTCACCGTTTTTTCAGTTAGTACTAACCTTGGAACGAAAGCTGTTGGAATTTCATTATATTCTACTCATAAGTTTGTGTTATAAGGACTCCGCTTCATAAGAAACAACAATTAAACGTTGGTTTGTTGACTTTGAACGTACCTAGTCGTTAAGAAACCGATGATGCAGAACGCAATAGACGTCCAGTCGTTTTGAATGATCGAAAAGTGAAGTTGCGTAAGTTAGCCGACATTGTGAAGATATCAAAGGAAAGTGTTGGCTTCATATTGCATATATATATATCAGCATGTAAGTTGCAATATAAGTGAAAACCAACACGGTTTTATGAAAAATCGTTCAACGGTCACCAATCTTCTGACTGTAACCCAACATATTGCTGAATCTATTGACAATAGGGCCCAAACTGATGTTATTTACACAGACTTTTCTATGGCCTTCGACAGGCCATAGGAAAGTCAGGTTATTATTAACTTGTCTTTAAGATTAGTTAGACAAGTTGATAACAACAGGCAACTAGATGCCTATGAGAGTGTGGAAATAAGTAAAAATAATAATATTATGAATAACGATAACGGACCAATACCAAATAGCATACTATATAGCTTGTTGAAATAACATTGTTGGGTTTACTGATTACTACAAAAAGACACATTGTAAATATATTTAGATAGGCAATATTGTGAAACTAATTTTATATAGCTGAAAATTGTTCTATATATAGCTGTAACATTTAAACATAAGGAGATATTGTAAATAATAGAAAGGCCAATTGTAAAATTAATTTAGGGTGGTACACTTGTATGGGTGGTATTACTGATTACCTACCTGTATGATGTACCTGATTAGTATAAGTAGCTTTAGTTTTGAGTAGTTATTAGTTTTATCTTCCTCTTGAAGGTGATCACTTGGTGATCGAAACACGTGTCGAGAATAAAAATAACGATTTGGTGTTGGGAAAAAACTCCAGTAATATTCATTTAATAGGCATATCGATAATGTTGTAACCTCCTCCTGTCTTTTGTACGGATTAATTGCACGTAACAATAGTGATTTCAAAGAAACTTCGACCTTAAAAACTCTATTCTATGCTTTCATAAGATCAAACTTAGAATACGCATCAGTTGTGCATCAGTATAAGCAATTCAACGACGATTTTCAAAACTGTTAAGCCTAAAAACTGATAGCATTTATCCTCCAATAGAAACAACCCACTCAGAATTGCTACAAAAACATAACTTTTTCAGTCTCGAAAAAATGCGTGAATATTATAGTGGTGTAGTAATCTATAAAATTTTCAAAAGCATAGTTGACTGCCCAACATTACTGGAAAAGTTTAATATTGGCATTCCTAGAATCTGTTCCAGGCACCCGAGTATTATACTACATAATAAAATCTCGCACAAATGTTCTGCAGAATTCTCCGATCCTTACCATGTGTAAAGTGACAAACTCTGTTAGGGATAATTTAGATATATTTAGTTGCAAATTGTTAGACATAAAATCCCACTTTCTAATATAATTGTTTTGTCACCTATCACCTATAATAATAATAACTTTATTCACAACGTATACAGATTAGAGTACAATTAAAACAAAATATGTGAACAAAGAGGTTTGGCGATAAGAACAGAGTTCATATAAAATGTGTAGTCTTTTATAGTCACTTGTTTGTATTGTTTGTAGTGTTTGCAGACTTTACAGTCACTTGTTTGTCATGTATTTATTATACTCTGTTATTTTCTGCTCTGTAATTGGGCTATGCCTGTAGAGTATTGTATTACAAATAAATAAATTAATGAGCATTTGACTATGAGAAAGCTCTGTTTCAACCCATGTGTTAGCATTGCAGCAAGCCATTCAACAACCGACGGGACTATACTTGGGATAGTAAGACCTCTTTAATCTTCAGCTTGCACAAGTAGCTTTGTGAGGGTTGTCGTTCATATACTTAATTGTTAAATCAATGAACTATCCTTCAGATTCCAACGAAATGATTGATTCTGCAATCTTTTCAATAGAACTCATGACTTACCAGCATCTTCTAAAAACAGCATTTCTACAGAGTTCAACAAGAAGGCATTCAAACTAGACTCGATTCGGGAGGATATAGATTGGTTTGTTGTCAAGGCCATAATCTCAGTTTTATTTCAAATGAAACAATGAGATACGAATTATTGAGGTCTTACAGAATTAAATTGTTGGTTATAGTCACCTCACAGGTGAAGTTAATGTATTTGAAAACGCAGTTGGGCTATTGAACCTTTGGGTAGGTGATAAGTTGACTTCAATCTGACTAGTATCGATTTGAGATGTTTTCAGGAATATTTCTGTGACCCAAGGATATTTTTACTTTTAATAAATGCATCAGACCTATTTGAACGGTTACCGTTAGTAAACGATAGTCATTTAGAAACACAAATGCTTTGTGAAAATCTTTTAATGGAAATGAAGTACGGTCAGTATTGTGTATTGACACAAATGAATTGGTTATGAGCATATTTTCGTAGGAGCTCCTTAGCTCATTGTACGTCCAGGGTTACCACTAGGTAAAGATAAGGGATAATATGATCAACCAAATAGATACCTCATTAGTTATTCTCGTAATATCATCAGTCTTGTTTATTCGTATAATCTTTGTTTTCCGTTGCTTTATTATACTGAGGAAACCAATCTGTTCAACAGAATTATCGCTTTATTATATATGTTTAGCAGATGTACTTGTGGCAAACCTTGACAGTAATTAAACTGTTCAATTATGAAATCAAAATTGAAGAAACAATTTCATATACCTTCTAAGTGTCCCATATTTGAAATTATCCAAGATTTTTTTAAGAAAACGACTACCATTAGGAACTATATTTGAATTGTCAAGCGGCTACATAACTTAAATTTTCTTTTTCTATGCAATTTAAACTTTGGACTAGTAGAAGAAATGTTTCCAATAAAAATGTTAAAAAATGTACGGAGCTGCTTTTTGGTTATATATGTCTGTATTTTACGTTTTTAAGGTTAATGACATAGTTGGTACGACTGATGCTGTCAATATTCCTAAAGTAATTCAAATGTTTTTTGCCTTCATTCTTTAGATTGTAAATTGGTTTTTGGTGGTGTATCTCCGAATTTGAAATAGTAGGCGGCGACAAATACCAACCGCTTTTTTCTTAAATGTCACTAGTAACTAACCTAGGAATAGAAGAATGGCACCAGAAGAAGCATTCGTTTTTAAATTAGGTTTTTTATAAGAAAAATGTTGATTGTTGAATTGAAAAGTGTCAATTAAGGAGGAATAAGGTGTAAAGGTGACCTAATGAATAAATGCTTGTGTTTTAAAATAGTTTATCTTGTGAAAAAGAAAGCTGGAAAGTTGCTTTTTTCTGAACTTTGAAGGGCCGTCACTTTGTAAATAAGGGAGAGCGCTGCTTTTTTCTTTCGGATTCGTACTCTACGCATCAAATACGAGGGTCCACTCAAAAATTTTTTCAAAATCGCTGGGTGCCCTCAAAACGAATAGTTACCGAAATAGGTACTCAAATTTCGATCAAACTGATGAAATATAAAACATTCAAGACAATGATAAAATTAAAATTAATGAAACAATTTCATATACCCATATTTGAAATTATTCAAGTAATTTTGAAGAAACATAACACTACCATTTGAGAACTTCATTTGGATCTCTATAAAAGCAGCCCAAATGAAGTTCTTGAATTGGCGATCTCTATAAAAGCAGCTACATAACTTAAATTTCGGTAATGACCCTAAGTAACTTTTTCTTGCAAATTAAACTTAGGATTAGTAAAAAAATACTGAAATTTTGATTAAACTGATGAAATACTAAAGCATTGAAGATAAGGGTTGCTAAAACTAATCCACGAATTGACAGTTACAACAAACCTTCAAAATTTTAGCATCAAGTCAATAATATAATAGTATTTCACATCTTAAATCAGTTAGTTTAACAATGAATTCAAATAAAATTACAAAGTTCAAGTTTAAGACTTTCCTCTGTTGTAATACAATAACGAAAAAGTTGAAATCAAACGTCAGAAAAGTTTCGTTATGCCCGGTATACGCGATTGACCTTTTTTACTGTGTATATAAAAAGAAATAACTCACCTTATTATGTATAAATTGTCCAACAGAAAATGAACTCGAGCGGAGCGTGTTAATTGTCGAAAAAAAACAATACACCTAATCAATCGTGCGTATACCACTGATTGACAGCACGTGTCCGCCGACAGTCGCTAATAAACAATCGAATCACGTGCGCACGCACACTAAGACTACAACGGTCTAGTCAGAGAACCGACTGATGAATGGC